GCACCCCTTTACCTAAATTCATTACTTCAGACTTATGTGCCCTCTAGAAGCTTGCGTTTTGCAAGTGAACGTCGCTTTATTGTGCCATCTCAAAGAAGCACAAAATCACTTTTACGGCCTTATAAATTAAATGTTCCCTCCTGGTGGAAGGACCTGCCCAACTCAATCCGAGCAGCCTTCAAGAATCGGCTAAAAACACGTATCTTCCATCTTTATTTGACCCTCTAACTCTAGCACTCTCTATTCTAATTCTATTCTTAAAAAAAAAACACTTGTCCCTTTTAGACTTGCACTCTATTCATTTGCTGCTTGTTTTCTTAAAAAAAAAAACTAACACTTGCTTTCAAATCTTTGTATTCCATCTGTTTTCTTTTCATTTATTATACAATTAACAAAAGCAAAAAAGACATCTAACACTAGCTTGCTGTATTCTTTTTCTATTTGATCTGTTTTCTTTTCATTTATTATATTATTTAAAAAACACTTGCTACGTGTACCGCGTTAAGCTAACTGAGACTTGTTATAGCACTTGTATATCATTGCTCTTTTGTTGATTTTGATTGCTTCCATTGTCCTCATTTTTAAGTCGCTTTGGATAAAAGCGTCTGCTAAATGACTAAATGTAAATGTAAATATATTATTATATTACTAAAGCATCCAATATTTATGTAAAATGAGGATGTTTTACATGCCTAAAGCAAATAAAGCTCACCCTTTTTACATAAAAAGAAACCATAAAAACTTTCATTTTGCCACCACCTTTCAAGTGCATATCACTATGGATTACATGTAATTACACGTACGTTTCTTGCACAGAACAATTGTTAAAACTGAATATATCGTCATTAGCTACATGTATTAATTTTGTGTTCCTTGATATGCTTTTTTTATTTTTTAAAACGTGCAGCTGTTAACTTGCATTTTGTGTATCTCCAAGGACCATGGTTTCAGCTAAAGATCTTCTTTACTGTTCTACTGAAGAAAAAAGTCACCTACATCTTTGTACATCTCAGTAAATTTTCACTTTTGGGTGAACTACCCCTTTAATATTGGGTTTCGGTACCCATAGTAATAATGTTATAAAGAGTTGAATGAAACAGCAAAATCTGAGCTAATCAAAGTCCTTTGTGAAGCAGGATTTTGAACCAATGATGTTTCACTGTGGGCGGCGCTACCCAGACCAACATAACAGAAATAAAATCTAAACTTCTGACAAAATCCATGCTCCCAAATATGTGTCTTTTCCATACTAAGCAGCATACAAAAAAAAAACCTATTTCAAATCTTTAACCCTCTAGGGTTGACAAATGCGCCGATACGTTTTGTGGCATTTCTTCCAGATAGAAAGGAACTTAAATTACTCCATCATTTTTGATCATACAGATAAGAGTCATACATCATTCAAATGATTTAATGATCAAAAAAAGGTCTTCCTTTTTTTGTATACCTACACTCATAATAACAATAAAATGCTGTGCTTTTGTAAAATGAAGAAAACAAACAGGGTTTGCTTTCAGCCGTCTCAGTCTCTGTGAACAACGTTTTGAAAAAATTAACCAAACCTCAGCAAATACTTGACACACAGACATGATAAATATATGTATAGACAATAGAAGCTTGAAGTATCTTCTTTTAAATGAAGTAAGTCATGTTCGAAGACAAATACTCTATTACAAAGAATATTTGTAAGAATATTTATAAAGAATGAAATTAAACTAACGCAAGGTCCAGTCTTTCCCGTCTGAGCTCATCGTCTGTAATATGATCATGTTCACGAGCCGAGCGAGCTTTTCATATGACAATCATCCACGTGAGACATGCGGACATGTAAACACCCACATCACCTCCGTAAACAAATGTGAACATTCAAGTTCATCTCGGCTACGTTTCGTTTCTGGAAGAAGACACGCTGAGAGAAATAAACCAGAATTTACCTCAGAAGAAGAACACAACGTGATGCGTGGTTTGATCCAGCGGAGGAGATCATTTACATTAATAAGTCTTTTTTTATTATTTGATTAATTATTTGATTAAATATCAGGTATGATTTACTTGTTTCAACATTTGAACAGGATCTGTTTCAGCAATGGCACAAAGGTGTGTGACTGTTCAAGTCTCTGTCTTTAGATCAGTGTGCCCAATAATCTGTCTTTGACCTTCATTGTGTACATTTTGATTATACTGTGTTTGATTGTACCCACATCACCTCCGTAAACAAATGTGAACATTCAAGTTAATCTCGGCTACTTTTCGTTTCTGGAAGAAGACACGCTGAAAGAAATAAACCAGAATTTACCTCAGAAGAAGAACACAACGTGATGCGTGGTTTGATCCAGCGGAGAAGATCATTTACATTAATAAGTCTTTTTTTATAACTTGATTAATTATTTGATTAAATATCAGGTATGGTTTACTTGTTTTAACATTTGAACAGGATCTGTTTCAGCAATGGCACAAAGGTGTGTGACTGTTCAAGTCTCTGTCTTTAGATCAGTGTGCCCAATAATCTGTCTTTGACCTTCATTGTGTATATTTTGATTATACTGTGTTGTAAATAAAATACAAATAAGCAAAACCCCCATTATTTTACTCTCCTCACATTCTTTCTTACCTGCCTCACAGTCACAGTGATGGCCCATTAGGGGAGGGCCCTTTGTCTCAGCTGTGAATCACTATTAACTGCTCACAAATTATTGTAGCACAGTTTGATGATTACAGTGTAATCAAACTTTAGCCATTAATATGTTTTTAAGATACTGAAAAAAGCACAAATGTCAGGGAATGTCAAAATTTCTCCAGAGCCCCAAAACCCCTTAGACTCCAGAGTGTTAAGCCATGGATATACTCACAGTGAAGTTCCTTTTTATTCTTCATTTAGGAGTAAAAAGAAGTTTGAACTTCCTTCACAGCAGTACACTGTTAGTGAACATCCCTATGCCAACCACATTGCTGAGACACTTTAATTTAAAGCAGCTCACCAGTGTCTATGTTTTTACTCAGGAAATGAACCATAGATTTCCACGTCAAAGAAGGCAGAGCCCCAGAGCACACCTACCTATTATGTAATCGCCACGGACCAATTGCAGTTTGTAGGTGTTTGCCAGTTGGAGCAAACTTTTCTGAAAATCTCTCTTTGGCAGGCTTTTTCAAACTTCCAAAACAAACTCCAAACAAACTTAATTTTGGCCTGATTTTGTTCAAAATGATGTCACACAACTTCGTTCTTCGATTTCACTTTAAATATATCAGGACTTAACTCCAAACAAACTTCATTTTGGCCTGTTTTTGTTCAAAATGACATCACACCAATTCGTTCAATTTAGTAATAATTTAAGTATATTGAGGCCTTTAAGATGGCTACATACACAGTATTCATGAAACAGCGCATGAACAACAAACATTAGTAATGTAAAGTCTAAAGGTGTGGTCACATTAGCAAAGTTATGGTAAAATTTCACTGGCAAAAAAGGTCTATAGTCTATTGTCAGTTGTGTAGTGATGCATGAAGAATAACGCTCACTCAGAAGCCACTTTCTAACCATGCAGCCATGCAGGGAATTTGTGTGACCAACTTGAACATGAGCAAACTTTTTTGCCCTTACGCAAAATGACTGGATTTCACACACAAAATTTCACAGAGCAACAGAAAATGTGACTGCACTTTAATATCTTATTAGACCGTCCAGTTAAATATTCCACCATTAATAAAGTCTTGCTTCCAATCACATTAAATTTGAGTTAATGTAGCATCAGCTGGTCTAAAGTCTGTTTCCTATAAAGTTCATGGCCTGTTTAATTTGGTGAAGTTCTTTTATTTTTTATGAAAGCAATGTCTGCCAGAGAGCTAATTTATAGTCTGTTTGTTCAAACTAGCTATAGAGCTAGATTGAACAAACAGATCAACTCAGCTATTTCCTGCACTTTTCACCATTTCTAGTATAATATGAAACTATAACAAAGCAGTTACCTAAAGTAAATAGGCAAATCAGTCCGGATTGGCTCAGCTTGTGCATGTGCGTAGGTTGAAAGCAGAAGCGTGCAATAAGATGACTCCTTACCAGTTCCACATGTGGCGCTGCATTCAGTCCAAGCCCCATAAATCCACTGGAAATAAGAGACAGCAGTGCCATTGTTGGAGTCGACAAGAATGTCTCTGCTTATGGTGTACTCATACCTCACCCCTGGATTGGTCTCTTGAAAAAGCAGCTAGAGAACATTGAGGGCAAATTAAAGAGAAACCTTGACACATCAACACACAAACAACATACAAACCCATAAATCTCATACGTAGAATCTAGGGCAATGGCCATATAATCAGATATCAATTTGTCAGGATTCTATGACATTGTATTGGTATAGGGTTTTTTTTAATGAAAAAGGTCAAATTAATGAAGTAGCCGTTTTTACAAATAAGCAACCAGATTTAGAAAGTTGTGAAAAAAAAATGCTATACATTAAGTACCAGGACAGACTGTGGTTAATTTTCTTGTTTAATTTCATAATATTAGCAATGATCAATAAGTTTGTCATTAAATATTGTACACTGAAAAGTATGCAATAATCGCATATAATTTATTTTTATATATTTTTAGCACACATTTCAATTACAACATTGTGATACATTGCACCTTAACTAAATTTTGACTGTATGAATGTATTTTATTGTGAGGCAGTTGCCAGCCCATAATTTAAAGTGTTACATATTTTGGTGTTGAGACCAGCAACTATTGTAAAATATTTGAAAATGTGAAATTTGATTGGTGGTATAAAGTAGTACAAGATTTTTCCCCAACAGATGAACCGACATATAATTATGACAGATTTTTTGGTCTTTGCACAGCAGAACAGTAAAACCCAAAAAGTGAGGTTGTAAGCTTCTCTTTTCCACATGGGATTTAAGAATTTGGAGAGTGATAAGAGAATATTTAATTTGTCTGCCTCCCGCTGCTGTAGACATCCTTCTATCTCCACCCGCGCAAAGGCTGTGAGCCAAAGGCCTCGAATCGCTCTGTGGGAGGAGGTCCACAGAGGTCTAGAAGGCCCCTCTGCTACACATACTAGCCTAAATCCCTAATAAACAGTATCTTCACTTTAATGGTACTACAACATGAAAATCATGGCTACTGTAATCATAAAACTCAGTCCGCTAATGATTACAATTGGGAATAAGCCTTTTATGCAATAAATTCAATCATTAAAGCCACTAAATCTTCAAATATATTTTGCTTTTTAAACAAGGAATGGAATAAAATCATACATTAATCTTTTGTTACTGAAAAAGGTCATAAAGCTACTTCCTGCTGAGTAGAATTTTATGCAAATACATTGGGTTAAGCCTTTGATTTCACTTTCCCTGTCAGATAAAGCTGTTCTGTTTTCTCAATTTAAATATTTACTGTTGAAGGAGGATGCCATACATTTATGAGTATATTTCTTTTTAGAAGTCTTTACATAAGTAGTTAATGCTCTGTGCTCAGAGAAATTTGCAGATTTAATTATTCATGAAGAATAGGCCTGTTCTCCATTATAGTGTTTGAAGCGGTAAATGTTTCCATGGATAATACAGTCTGTTCTCTTTTTTCATTAAAGAAGTTGTTTGTATATCTTTCCATGCAACAAATGTGAGACGTTAAATTATAATGTATACCATTTTAGGTCTCTATTTAGACTCTAAACCACATTTCAGGCACAGATTCACTAAACTGTGACCTAGTTTAGCAGAGCACTTTAGCAGGTGCCTGTGAAAAGAGACAGGCCTCAAACATCACATGCTAGATTCTGCTCATAAGCAGCATGTGAGGCTTCAGCATGGGACTGAGTACCTGGATCCACACTGGCTCCATAGTCGGTCCGGGGGAAGATAGGTTTTCCAGCTGCCCAGTCCTTTCGTAAGTAAATACTGTTCCTGCTGCTTTATACTCGCCATTCCACTGGATCGTCCAGCCACCGTTCAGGAAATATTTTTCAGGGTCATTACTGCGCAATGCCAAGTAGTTCCCAGCCTCTGCGACTTCCTCGATACGGATGTCCCGTGCTCCTTCCGGAATTAGACCTATGTCTACATAGCCTGAGAGACAAAAATTACCTCAGCTTATTCAAACAAATAAAGTAGAAATAAAACAAACATGCAATGTTATATTTACAAAATGAATGCTGCTTTGAGTAAAATATAAACTGAAACTCATTTTACAAACCGAGCCCTTCACTGTCCTCAAAGGTCTTCCTCACTGTTTTGCACGTAGATCCATTTCCATGGCACACTCCACACTGATCCTCAACAGCATCTGAGTCAATCTCATAATCACAGCCTAAGTACTGACATGAAGAGACAGATCATAAATTTAACTCCGCAATTAGACTAGAGTGATGTGAATTATACTGATATTTTTCTCATTCTGACAGCACCCATTCACTGCAGAGGATCCATTGGTGAGAAAGTGATATAATGTTAAATTGCTCCAAATCTGTTCCAATGAAGGAACAAAATCATCTACATCTTGGATAGACATTTTCAGCAAATTTTGATTTTATATACTGTATAAAGTGTAGTACTGTGCAAAGGTCTTGGCCACCACCAGCTTTGTTGTTTTAGCAAAGTTTTAATGACCATATATTTACTTTTCTTTACAAACAGAACATAAAGAAAACATGTACACTAAATTTTAAACCACACTGTTTCCATAACAAACAGGCAGAAGTCAGTATTTAGTGTGACCTCCCTTATCACTATGTACATCTTCAACTCTTTTGGGGAGACTGTCCTGAAGTTTTCTGGAGTATTCTTTGATATATTATACCAGGCTTCTTTCAGCACTTCCCAGAGTTCTTCTTTAGAGTTGGGCTGTCTTTTATTTCTTTCTCTGTCCAGGTGATCCCATACTGCCTCTATAATATTCAGGTCTTTTTTTTTTATTCAGGTCTTTCAATTCAAAACACATTTAATACAATTATGCAAATGAACATTTCCTTTAAAGATAATATTTTTTACCAATAGTTATTCCTCATTTTTCCCTCTACTTTCTCTTCTGTTCACTTTGTTTTCCCTTTTGTGATAATATATAAGTAAATAAATAATTAATTAATAAATATAATTATATGTTAATATTATTATATTATATATATATATATATATATATATATAATACTTTAGTATAATATTCAGGTCTGGACTCTACAAAGGCCAGTCCATGATTGTCAGTGTTTTATCAGCTGTTTTTCTCTCCAAATATAATTTCACTGTAGCAGTGTGCTTGGGATTATTATCATGCGGAAAAATAAATTCACTCCCAATCAGGCACTTTCCAGAAGGAATGGCATGACAAATTAAAACCTGTCTGTACTTTTCAGTATTCATGATCCCATCAATTTGGACAATATCGAACCACTGGCAGAAATGCAGCCCCAAACCATGATAGACCCTCCACCATGTTTTACAGAAGGTGGCAAGCACTCATTCATCCATCTCTCTCCAACTCTTCTTCTCACATATTGTTGATGATTGGATCCAAAAATTTCACACTGGGATTTGTCACTCCATAATACTTTTTTTTTCCACTTATCTTCATTACAATCTTTGTGAGCTTTAGCATATCGTAGCCTTTTCGCACTATTCTCCTTCCAAAAAGTGGTTTCTTGGATGCTACCCTTCCACAAAGACCACTCCTGATCAAGCTTATTCAAACTGTAGAAGGGTCAACTTGGCATCCCGATGAAGCCGCCAGATGCTGAGCCAGGTCCTTGCTGGGCTTCTTCTGGCCTCTCAAAGAAGAAACTGAGAAACTTCTCATCAGATTTTTGAAGTTTTCTAGGCCTTCCAGTTCTTTTTCTGTCCTTGAGCTCTCCTGATTCTTCAAATTTCTTGAATACCACATCTTGGGTATCCAGTTTGTTGCTGATTTCCCTTGGAGAGTGGCCTTGCTGATGCAAAATTACAATTTTATGTCTGTCAAATTCTGTGATCTTTGGCATTTTGAATGGAATGATGTTACAGAGAGTTGGTCTTATTAGCAAACAGCCAACTCATACAACGTGTAATGCTCAAGCATGTCTTTAACAAACCTGGTGTAAAACACCTTTTTGACATGAGATAGCAGGTGTTAGCAATGACATTAATTAGGGAGGTCACACTAAACACTTGGTACTTTAGTCTATACGTTTTTTTTTTTTTTTTTGCATACAAACTTCCTGTATTTTCTGGTTGTATTCTAATAAAGAGACTGATAAATAACTATATATGGTCATTATACTATTGCTATAACAACAAATCACAATTTTAGATTGACTAAATGTAATACTGTAGAAGATTTGCATTTGAACTGAAAGCATAAATCTAGGCTATGCGTTGACAGTTTCAGAGAAAACACAAAACTGCAACATTTCATTCACTGACACACTTCACTCAAACATGTGCTAAGAGTTCATTTAAAGTAATTTTAAGTGCTTAGAAAAGTAACAATTCTCCTCAAGAAATTTCCACAGTTTTACTGTCTACAGCAGTTTCACAGGGTTATAGGATGGTTCAGTGAAACTAAAAATGTTTGCATGTCAACTAAATATTTAACTCCTTAACTGTATAAAAGAACAAAACCACATTGAAAACAATAGCTTCCTCCCCTGTATTTAACAATACCGTGTGTAACTTCCGCCTGGGGTCATACAAGGACTCATTCAAATATTTATTTGAATTAAGTTTGAGAAGAAGAGTGTGGAAGATTGTTTGCCGACACGTTCTCATGATTTCACACCCCACTGTTTTTGTGAGACTCTTGTGGTATTATTTCACAATAGACTGACACTCAAGCTGACAGACTGTCAATGGTTTACAATGAAAATGACAAGCAGAAATTTACATGGACCGTCTGAGACTGAGCAAAGAGGTCAAAGCCATTACCAACCTTACAAACGCCATTAATGCATATGTCACGGCTCTGACTGCCTTCATAGCACTGTGTTCCGTCTATGACAGTGTCCAGCATTCTCTCTGAAAAGTGCTCATTCACAGGTCTACAGTGCAGCTCACACGGATTAACTGGAATGACACAAACATATCCATTCTGTGAAATCTATTTAAAGAGTGCTGCAACAATATAACTCTCTCATGAAGACGTGAATGGCACATGTCTGCACATATAATGCCATAATGCGCACCTCTGTTATTTACATGTATCCATTTATAAAACTTTCCCTTATATGGGATTGTGTTAAAGCGGCTGCACTGGATGTGTCTGAAGCTGATCTGGTCCACAGGGCAGGGGTCACGGTTACAGGTTCGATATCTGCGGCGCTCTCCAAGACAGTATTTACCTCCATACTTGGGCCTGAAAAACAAATGCATGAAACATTTAAAATACCATTAAGTCATTTAAAATCTGCATATACAAAATGTTTATGTATACATATCAACAAGAAACTAAATAATAAAAATAATACAAATATAAACCACTAGCAAGTCAAAAAGCTTAAAAAGTGGTATAAAAAGAAAAGAATGTGGTTGCCAATGTCTTTTTGGCTCCGTACACATGATTTGATCAATGATTCGAGATTCAATGATTTGAGAACCCCACTGGCTTCCAAATATCTTCAGTTTGGAGTGGTGTGAGGTTGAGCAAATTACAGATTTTTTTTTTTTTTGGTTGATGATTGACCAAACAGGTATCCCAATAAGATTTTTTAAAGATTTTTTTATTATTATTATTCTGACTTGCTGGTGAGAAACAAATGCAATTTGCTTATTAACCATAAACATGCTAGTCTTTTCCCATACAGTCTATGATACAAAATAGCCTTCTCATAGTTGTATGGGTTTCTGGATGGTTGCTAGGTGGTTTCCAAGCAAACTCAAAAGAGCCCACCTCCATGCATTCGAATATTTATGCCAAAATACATTCAATTAACCCAGAATATTGTGCATTGACTACTAGAAGCCTCCCAGACACAATCAAAACATTTACTGTAGAGTGGTTCGCTCAGATCCGGCAATCTCTTTCAAGCAATAGCGAGAGTTTAGTGACTGTCTACTGTAGCAGGCTGAGCCAGAAGGTGTTGGGATCATGGCTGATACCTTACATTGGAAAAGAATTCAGATTCAGGTTACAGAAGTGCTAACCAAAATTTGAAGACTTGCCATACATAATATGCAGAAACAGGCAAGGGTAAAGCAAGAGTAAACAACTTGGTGCTTTTACAAGATGTAGAAATATGATGGAATGTTTGGGTTTCAATTGAGACACCAAACTTGCAGAATTCCGTCTCAATAGGTAAGATCAAATCTGAATGTTTTTTCCACAGATGCTAGCTCTTTACTATACTTTACTTTACTTTACTTTACTATAAAGCCCCAGATAAAATTGTAAGAATAAGGTAAGGGCATGATGATGTACGGGGACTTTGCAAAGGTTGTTTGAAAGATGCACAGAAGCATACTTCATCTTTAACTGTTATTATTTATTTATTTATTTATTTTTACTAGAAAAGAGACATTTACTGTAATAAGTACACAGAGGAAGTGGTGACAAATAGTAGTAGATCTTTTTCCCATATCCTTAAAAGTTCTTCTGAAATATGATGCAGATGTTGCACATGATTTCCATCAATTACAACATCCTAGAGATGCATTCACAAGCTGGCCACAACCTGGTTCTATAACCATTTCCATCCTTGAAAACTTGCTTGGGGTGCAAAACATCTGCCAGGATAGAGAATCTAGTCCAAGCCAAATATAATGAAATGGTTATACTTCATAAACTCTGAACCTTTGGACCAGAGACAGTGACTGTTTTATTGGTTGAGTGAGGCTCTCTGACACCATATGGGATCTGAATTTCTCACCATTTAACAATTTGTTGGAACCGCAGAGACCCTAGAATGCCATTGAAGATGATTGAAAATATAAAATTAATTATAATTACATGTATGAAACCTCAAACACATTATGCTGACGTGGTGGTGAGAAATAAATGCAATCACTTCCTCATCAAATGCTAGCCTTTTCCTATACAATCTGTGGTTTAAAAAAAGCTATTCTCATGGTTTGTGATTTTTCAGAGTAAACCAGATTAAGCTGCTGTAGCTGTAAGGATTACTTTTACACTACCTTGGAGTTTGGTGAATTTGTGAACCCCATTGGCCTAATTGTATGGACAAAACATTCTTCAAAATATCTGTTCCACAGAAGAAATTCAAAAATAAAAAAAGAGCTGCGTGACCGTTAGTAAATGATCTAAGTAAATGATGGCATAATTCATTCATTCATTCATTTTTTTTCTTCCTTCTTCTATGCAGTTTCTAGAGGTTTCTGGATGTTTGCTAGTCAAGAGAGCCCAATGCCATGCATTAACCATTGATGATTGTGTCCAGACAGGGATCCCAAAATGATTTTTTTATTCTGACATGCTGGTGAGAAATAAATGCATTCATTTACTTATCAACCATAAACATGTTAGTCTTTTCCCATACAATCTATGATAAAAATAGCTTTCTCGTGGTTTATCCCAGTAAAGTGAGTGAGCACAAATTGTATGTGTGTGTAGGAAACTCACACAGGGTTGACACACTCCCTCTGGGCATTCTGAACGCCTACACCGCATGTCCTGGTGCACCTGGACCACTCGCTCCATGAATCCCAGCCACCATTCACGCTTTTAGGCTGGAAGCCCATCTCCACACACTCCCCGTCAAAACACCACTGACCAAAAAAAAAAAAAAAAACATAACCAAGACTTTGAGTTAGTCAGAGGAATTCAAAAGGAGAACTACGTATATGGTGAACTTCATGCAGGGAAATGAAAAGCCCACAGAAAGCCTGGCTTGCCTTGCCCTCACCGCACTTGGTCCCATCCACAACACCATCCAGCCTCGAGTGGCAGGTTGAGCCCACTGTGCACCACAGGGTGCTGCAGATATTCTGAAGGGTACAATCATTTAAGAATAATTCAGAATAGTTCAAAGCTACATAAAATGTTATTATAAATGTTGTAGAATTCCTCTTAATTCTTAAGTAAGTCTTAATTCCTTATCGGAAGCCCATTTTTGCCACTGAATGAAATAAATAAATAAATACAAAAGGTAATTGTGATTTTTTTTTTTAAATCTCACAATTCAGTCTTTTTATATTTCATAGCTTGGATTTTTAAAGAGAAAACAACCTATATAGAAACTCACAATTCTGAGTAAAAAAGTTTCAGAACTGCAAAATATAAACTGAGAATTCTTCATATCTCACAATTCTGACTTTTTTCTCAGAAATGCAAGATAAAAGTCTGAATTGTAAGATATACACTAAGAATTACAAAAAAAACAAGATTATTTTATCCTGTGGCAGAAAAAAGCTTATCTGTGTTCATTTTGTGTTAAATTGTTTTATACCATTTTAACAAAAGTTATGTTAAGTGTCAAGTGGTGTAACCATTAAATAACATATTTTCGGAATCAAGTGTTCATATTTTCAAAACGTTAGTTTGTACTAAAAAAAAAAAAAATGACGACATTTTTATTTTACTATATGTACCAAAAGAACATTATGTTAGTTTGCCTATTTACAGTAGGCAGTTTTTAAGCTGTTGATGTTAAACTTTGGCTTGCAGTCTACAGTGGAGGGGCACGAGGAAGCAGCTTCAACTTCAGTTTTGATACCCCAAGGGACTACTAGTGCTTGGATGTTTGGATGGATACTTAAATTATGTTGGTGGCATTGAGGAGGCAGCAGGATGCTGAAACAGCTGATGCTGGAGCAAGGTGAGTGCTGCTCAAGCTCCAGCACTTAATTAAAAGATTAGAATTCAATTTAGGAATTTCACCAATTAACACCAAAAAATTACCAATTAGTAAAATATGAAACATTTCATTGATAAACAAAAATGATAGAACACAGCCATATAGTAAGTGTTTTCTTAATATTTGTCTGCAAGTATAATATTTTTTCAAGACTTTTAGCTCTTTTTAAATGCTGTCCAAAAATGGAAAATATTTTCATCACAGAACGTCATTATCAGTAAAAATTGTATTATTATTTTTTAATGTGCTTTTTGAATAGATCTAGACATAACAAAAGAGTTTCACATCCCTGACATTTCAAATGTCACATTGAAAAATTATGAAACCACATGTGCTTAATTTGAGGCCTACTCTGGAATCCTGAAATGCATGGAGTTATGTTATTGTTTAATGTTCTCTTAAACTTTTGGAAAATGGCAAACCTTGTGTGTTGTGCACCAAACACAAACATTCATTGCATTTCTTAACCTCTGCAATTTCCTCTGGTGTCATTTCTTGAACTGTAACAGCCCTGATAAGGAAATTGAAGTCTGGCTTTATCTGTGTCCGAACGACAGAGTGCCAACTCTTTTGCTGTGTCTGTGACATTTGGCCAATAATTGAAAGATGCCCAGTATCTGCCAACAGTTGCTGCAGAAAGCACGGACATCACTGATGTGATTTGACATCACAGACAACAATTCTGCAATCTGATGCCCTTTTCCCTATTTTAATTCTGCAGGATGCCAAATTTAAATGAGCTATGTTGGCTTTCCCCCTCATTGTTCAGCTAGCTTAGATAAAAATGTTTGTAATTTCAAGGTAGAGCTCTTCATGTTAAACTGTTTACAAAGTAGTTCTTCTAGTTGGAACATAAGACCTGCTAAACTAATGATGTGCCTTTTCCCACTAAAACAGCTGGGAATCAGATGGTCCTGATGTAAGTAGAAACTGGCACTTCCTCTGTGATGGAAAAGTGTATGTGTGGTCTATGCCTTACCAGACACTTGAAGTAATAGAGGTTTTTGTTGAACTGTTCACAATTTAATAGTGAGAAATTTAAAGCAGCCCATGGGCCTGGAAGTACATGAGTTGCTTAAAGAAATAGTTTCCTAATGAGATCAAATTCAGAACAGATCTCTTTGTTGAAAAGACCAGCATGGCTGGCTATTGTGTTTTGGGTGCTGGTATTCCCAATCAAATATATTAAGTACACTGAAACATACACATAAAACATACATTTTATTATAGTAAAAGTGTAGTAATGTTTTTTTGGTGTATTCATTACCATTTGCATGACCACACTTTTACTACAAGTACCATGGTTAAACTATGGTTAGTATAGCAAAACCATGGTTAATTTGTGGTTACCATGGTTTAACTATAATGACCATGGTTATTTGGTTTTATGTGTAGTAAAATGGTTAATTTTCATAAGGGTTGTGCCATTGCTCGCTAAAAGTTTGCTAGCTATCTTATAAACACTGATGTGACAATACATAGGCCTATATTTTTTAATATAAGTTTAATTTATTAAATCCTGTCATGAAACCATGTAAAATCACTTTTACACTACTTAATTTGTTCACTTCAAAATAACTTCATTAAATGATGTTGAATGATTAAATGATGCAAATCCAACACACTTTTTTTCAGTGTATAACCTTTATAATGAATTATCTTTTTACTTTGTTTGAATGTTTTTGACTTTGATAAAAAGAGATGTTTTTTAAATCAAAATTTAAGGTTTGAACCTAAATCAATTTTTTTTTAAATGGGTCCAAAGTATATTTTTTTCCAGTGTACTTTTAGGATAAGTTGCCTTTGTGTTCCTTTGAAGCTTGAAATGCTCCAGTTCCCATTCTTTGTAACTGAATGAAAAAAAGCAACCATTTTTCTTTCTTTCTTTTGTGTGTGTATTACAAAAGAAATTCATGCACAGAAACTACATTATCTGAACTTTGGCTTCACTATCAGAAGCACTTATATATTTTTATTAGGTTACATTATAGCCTACAATTTATTTACAGTTCCTAGCAGATGTGTGGTTCAGAATGTCTTGCTCCATCTGTATTTCATAAACAGATCATTTAAGCCCTCTGTCTGCACTTGTGTACACTTCTGACCCATTTTTCTTAGCAGTTTGGCATCAGAGAGCTGTCTGCTGGGGGAATCAGAGTTATTTGTGGGTTCAAGGGAAAATCTTACATCTACATCGTCACAGAGCAGTGAGCTGGATCCATACTGGAGCTTGCACTGATGAGCAGCGCTGTACAGGACGCCAGGGGGAGCAGAGTGCATCTCAAGATCGTTTCTGACAGGAGGGTCATCCAAACACCAGCCCCAGCCTCGACTGTGAGGAACATGACAAAAACACACCACATGCAGAAAATACTTAGGCAAAGGTTTCTGGTTTAAGTGCAATTCATTCTCAGATTAGTACTTTTATAGGCTGAAATATTACATTATCTTAACTGAATAGCCTCTAAGATCTTGTTGTATTTCAATATTCTTTAATAGATCAAGGGCCAAATTTACTGCTTGGCTTGCGCCAGCACAAACCCTCCTTTGGCATTAAAAAAACACTTTCAGGATTTACTAAAGACACATAATGAAAATGAATGATGAAAGGGCATGGACGCTGTTATTTTTGTGGCTTATTGCATATGCTTTGAAGGAGTTCCCCTTTTAGATGCAACATTTATGGGAGGAGTGTGTTTAAATGATTCAAAGTGACTTTCTAAGGTTTGAGGTAATCAATGTACAAGTATTTGTGCCCAAAAAAGCATTTTGCACCTGACATGGTGACGATAGCCAGGGGCGCATTAATGCACGGAATGAATAATTAATAATATAAATAATAATATAAAGGAATATAAATAATTGAATAATTATAATAAATTATAATAAAAATGATTTATATGGGAGTTTGCAGCAGTGACAACAGCGTTCCGTAAACAAACTCGCACACTCATTTTTAGTGATGCCCTGGTTGTAGTAGCCTATATAGTGAATGGCTCAGTTTAGGTTCCCCCCACACAGTTTGTATACTATAGTTGGTATGTTCCACGTGTTCCATCGATATAAGCGGAATGTACAATGCATTCGCTACTAGTAAATAACCGCAGCACAAGAGTATCTTTATGTCAACATGCAGATTAACAGAAACACAACACTGCTGTGTGAAAGGAACTGAACCGGACAACGTTCTGTAACGTCATACAGTGAGAGTTCAGTAACTTGCTTGGTTGTAATCTGTGTGTCATCTATGTCCCATAAATAGTGTCAATTTTAAATCTGGATCTCAAAGTCTCCATTTTAAATCCAGGGATGGAAAAATAGGAATTATCCTACTGCTTAAATGTGATCATTAAACTTTATAGGGCTGTGGTTTAACTAATTAAACGTGAGCACGTCATGTTTCAAAATAAAAACGCAGTTAGCAATCACCAAATAACCCACATTTATGTCAACATGCCATGTGTTTTGCTCTACTGATGATGAATAATTAATATTTTGTGTGATTTATGGTGTTTAAATCATACCTGTAAATTCACATTTCAGCCAGGAAAGTTTTGATGGCATTTTCCTTTCATATTACCTCCGTATAATGCCCATAATATCGTAGTGTTTACTTTATGTAACGGCTATATAATTCTGCTGTTCCACAAGCGCCACCTTGTGGCAAAGAGTAAATTTGCATATTCGCTTATATTCACATTTTACGCAGAACAGTGTTGTGAATGTAAACTGGCATATTAACAAGACAAAAAAACGAAATTTGACAAATAATTTTTAGGAAGCTTAAAAAAAATAGGTTTTCTGGGGTCGGGGGGCCTACTGTAATGCTGTAGCCCAGGGGGGCCTTTGGTTATCTTAAGGCGCCCCTGACGATAGCTGATAATTTTGCTGCTCTTGGTAGATTTTGTTGGT